ATGGTAAATGTATCATGCCCTTATCAAAGTAATTTGGACCATCGTTTGAGTTTTAGAAAGAGTTTTACGCCACTTGCAACACAATAAGGTCATATAAATGCCGAAGAATAAATGTGTCACAAGAGAGTAACATACACAAAAAAGGAGGAGAGATAAGGACTATAGATGTTTTATAGGAAAGAAGGAGCAAACCACACCAGAGCACCCGCCAACCACGCACCCATCGCTTAAAAAGGGGGAGGTGAGGGGGTAAAAGTACTACCCTACAAGAAACTGTTATCTCATGCCAAAACACTACATCCAAATAGACAGACAGGATTAATCAACTTAACAAACTCCCCACTTTGGACTAAAGATAGCAGTTTAGTCCAACAACAAACAACACAACATATATCTACACTATCAAAGTCCAAAAATCAATGGATAAGACCCCCCCCCCCCAAAAAAAAAAAAAAAAAAAACAACCCTCAACAAACAACACAACATATCAACACTATCAGAGTCCAAAAATCCACTCTATGGATAAGACCCCAAAAAAACCTTAATAAACAACACAACATACCAACACAATCAAAGTCCAAAAATCAAACATGGATGGGTCAATTTTTTTTTGGTTTATACTCATCGACCAACAACAACGTATCCACGCTATCAAGGTCCAAAAATATAACGAGAGTACGACCAAAAAAATATCATCATCAACAACATGTCAACACTATAAAAGTCCCATATGATAATCCAATATGGATAACACAAAAAAAACGAAAATCATAAACAACAAGTACAACAACAACAAATACAACAACAACAACAACAACAACAACAACAACAACAACAACAGCAGCAGCAGCAGCACAACAGCAACAACAACAACAAGAAAACAATAGAGCACGAGCAACACACTAAAGCCTTACCTTAAGAATCTGATGCATGCAAAAGCGACACACTTGTTCCATCCCCCCGCTGGACTCGCCGTGAGGATGCCGCAGTATGAAACCTTTTTTGGGCTGCAAGATGAACAGGGGAAAAAAAGATGTCTTGTTATAGTGCAAGTTTTAAATCACTTTGTAACACAAGAAGGTCATTCAAGTGCCGAAGATCAGAGATGTTACAAAAGAGTAACAAACACAAAAAAGAAGGAGGAAAGAAAAGGTTGATAGATGTTAGATAGGAAAGGAGCATACAACACTAGACCACCAGAAGACCACCAGCAGACCACCAGCCAACCACTCCCCCCAAAAAAGGAAAAAATAACTCTCTTCTAGCTACTCCACAAAGTGTCCTAAGATAGAAACCGAGAGCAGGCTCTACTCCTTGAGACAATGCTGGCAGGCTACGAATACAAGCAGGCAAGATGACAGGCGCGAAAAGAATGAAAGAACGAAACATATTTTATGAGGTAATTATGAACACACAGAGAGAGAGCGAGAGAGAGTGGGGGGAGAAAAAAGAAGAAGAAAGAGAGAGAGAGAGAGAGAGAGAGAGTGAGAAAGGGAGTGAGAAAAAAAAATGGGATTCTATGTATCCCATGCCACCAATGTACGCCGCAACTGGCATGGTCGACGCAGCCCGCCTCCCGAAAGTTGAAACAATGTGACTGGAGACGTCATACGTCTACTCGTTAGAAAAATATTGCCTTTAGTAAAACAGGAACACACCAGCACTATAACCGTCGTTTAACAGGAGGAAAAGGTAAGACAGATACACAAAAAAACGACAGAGTAAGACAAGCAGGATCTACAAATGGCGCCCTCCAACCACCTGCTCATAGCAGACAAAGAGAGGCACAGATATTGCCCAAACTACCATAAATAAGTAACCTACCAACGCGGTATGACACACAGAGCTCAAAAAAGAGCTTTAAAATCAGTCAGCTCAAAAAATATATACCACCGGGAATACAAGCACACAAAGAGCAGATGAACGTCCATCGACCACAAAAATCGACATCATTTATTTAAATAAAACTAGTTATTCTGGAAGAAGAAGGGGGAAAATAGGTTAAGACGTCTTACATACGGCACTCGGTTTGTTTTGTTTTTTTCAATAGTGCATCGTCGCGGTAAAGGTCATTCAGAGTTGTTTTGTTTGGGTTTTTTGTTTTTTTTTTTGGTTGTTTTTTTTTTTGGGGGGGGGGGGGAGGGTTGAGGACGGGGTGTTTTCAATTGCATTTTTTGTTTGTTTGTTTTTTTAAAGAGAGAGAGAGAGAGAGAGAGAGGGAGAAGATAGAGAGAGAAGATAGCAAGACGGACAGACAAAAATAAAAAGGGACAGTAAAGAAGTAAGACCTACCAGTGGTCACATCCAACCACCCGCGCCCTTTATTCTAAAACAATAATTTGTGTAAAATTTCAAAAATGTTATTGAAAAAAAATATATAGTCAAAAATTAAAGATATTATAAGGGATGAAGTACGTCGACACAATAACGGTCATTCAGTGCTGAAGAAAACAAGAAAGACAGGAAAACAAGGATAGTAAAGAATCAAAACCTATCAGGAGCATCCTCCAACCACCTGCAGTCTTTGGTCTAAACTCTTAAAATTTGTTTTAGGTTTTCATATCCTGTACGAGTGTTTTTACGTCCGAATTGACACAATTTAGATAATCTAACTATTAAGGCCGATCCAGGCTGAGAGAAATTGAACATTGCAGCAAAAAGACCAATATACTAGATAAACATTCTCCCAACACGGGAATCGACCTCGGGTTTTCTGCGTGCGACGGCAAAGCGCGTAACAGCTAAACCACAGACATCGGTCGAACATTTGTAGAAAAAAAACCCTTTTTTTAAAAAAAAGAAGACGAACGTTCTGCATAAAATTGTATACAAAGTAGTGGTTCTCTTCCCAAATAGTACAAAGAATGGTGAGGAATGGGGTGAGCCGTGTCTTTACACAGCAGGGCCCAGATCAAACCAGAGCAATTGACTTTCGTTCTGAATCAATCATGCAAAAGGACCAGATCGAATAACCCCAAGAGTTTATCTGTACTTGGACGTATTCCAACCCGTACAATCGAAACAAATATATGCAAACCCTGATCCACACTGTACGTGTGTACATTTCTTGTTTGTTGTTATATCCAAGCCTTTAGATTAAAAAGGTTAGGGAAAGGAGAAGCACATGTAATAATACAATAACGACCATTTGTGAGGCAGCGTGGTGAAATCAGGCTCTCGTCAATTTTTGGGCACATAGAGTTATTGGTATCATCTTAAAGCTTGTTCACTTGTTTTTATTTGGATGATAAAAATATCCGTTTATCTTAAATACAAGTCGAGATATTTGAGAATGAAGGAGGTGGGGACCATCTGTTTTCAGAGGTGAAATTAGTGAGAAAATATGAAAATGGCCGCCAAAAATTACTTATTTCCTTAGCTTAAGAGTCCGTGGTAAATGAAAGTTTACATGTTTTGTGCCTTTAATCGCCGTTTTTCAGAAACACCCACACAGAAATGAGTTCTTTAATGGGCATGAAAGGTGTTGAGCCCAAAAACAAAAATTTGATAAAAATTCACAAACATGCGGAAAAATGCAAGTTTCTTCTCTTTGATTTTTTTTTTACGAGAGCCTGATTCCACCACGCTGCCTCACATTTATTATTGTAGGGAAAAAGTCAAGACCGGTCGAAAAGTACGACCGTCCCTCTAACTACCAGCTGGTATGAGTTCAATGCCCCCCCCCCCTAAAAAAAACAAAACAACAACAACAAAACCATTGTGATTTCAAATACCGAGCGCTTCGACCCAGTGGATGAATAAAAAAAGATTAAGGAGAAAATAAACAACAATTCATCATCAATTTCATCCTGTACGGTTATCAGAGAAGGAAGGTACCACGCTCGCCTAACATAAAATTGACTAGAATTCAAATGCCCAACGAGTGCATCTTAGTTTGAAATTGGGTTGTTTAGGGAGTTTTCAAGAATCCCTATTTGTATAACGAGTTTTCAAGAACCCCTATTTGTATAAGGAGTTTTCAAGGATCTCCGTCCATTTGACTCGGTGTTGTCGGAGATGGACGACAAAATTTCGCCTCTTCAATAACTTCACAGTTTGTATAAGAGGGTTAAACTCACACCATACTGTCTGAGAATGTACGTCCGTGCGTCTTTTGCTATAAAAGCATCTCAGCCCAAGTGCATCGAGTCTATTAGCTGGCCAACCTCCATTCTCCACACCCATTAAACTGAGGGCCTCTTTACATTATTACAACAATAAATCATTGTGAAGACAGAGCTTCGAATAGTCATGCACTTAATGACAGAAACATCTGGTGGTACAGATCTCGCCCTTGAGACCCCTTCAACGCAGTTTTGGCTACTTGAGAACAGGACCCGATGTAACACGTATCTGAAACTTGGAATATAATAGAAAACAGAAAGTCACAAAACTCCCTGCGTTACGTATGTCCGTCGCTTCAATATATTCATCTTGATTGTTCAATATCTTGTAACAAGTCTTAAACACTTTCAGACTTGTCAACACTTCCAAAGCCCAGTCAGGGACATCTAACGTTACAAGGTGCGATTACGTGACGACGAAAAAGATTACATCAGGTGCGACTGGTTTCGGTGTAGTATTATAACCTAAGACTCTCAAATTCACGATTGCCAAATCCGGGCCAGTCACAGGAAACTCGGAACGGTTGGAAAGCTTGCACTTTTACCCAAGATCAAACGAAAAAAAAAACCTTGACTGTCGTTCAACAAGAACAAAGAGTAAAGCCACAAATAAGTAGTGCGACAGACCAACCCCATCAACCAGCAGATAAGATAATAATTTGTTTACAAGACAAAAAACACATTCGAAGCAGCAGTGTACATTTCCCTGCCCATATAAGGGAAAGCAGCCCGAGGAAGATGTCCTACGTCATCGGACCACCATGGCGCTGCTAGAGATAAAGCAGCCCTGGGATGTGTGTGAGTGTGTGTGTGTGTGTGTGTGTGTGTGTGTGTGTGTGTGTTTGTGTGTATGTATGTGTGTGTGTGTGTGTGTGTGTGTGTGTGTGTGTGTGTGTGTGTGTGTGTGCGTGCGTGAGTGAGTGTGGCGTCAGTCACTTCAGTCAGTGACAGGGGTAGGCTTTCCGAAACTTTCCGAACCAAGGCACGTCTCAGGGAGTCGTGGAAATAAAGGTCATCGGGCTGCGACTACATGTACTACAACAGGGATATATATATTTGTAATGGTCCTGTCTCTCGCAAGGAAGAGAATGTATGAGAGTATAAACATGTGTGAGCGTGTGTGTGTAAGTGTAAGTGTATGTGCATGCATGTGTGTTAATGTATGTTTGAGCGTCTATGCGCGCGTGTGTGTGTGTGTGTGTGTGTGTGCGCGTGTGTGTGTGTGTGCGTGTGTGTGTGTGTGTGTGTGTGTGTGTGTGTGTATGTGAAAGAGAGAGAGAGAGAGAGAGAGAGAGAGAGAGAGAGAGAGAGAGAGAGTAGGTCAAGTAGGTGTGTACGAGTATGAGCATCTGTGCATGAGTGTGCTCTTTCATACTTAATAGTGTCTCTTTGTCTACTTTGCGTTTTCCTTTTATTTCAGGTGTATAAAAGGATGGGGAGGGGGTAATAATATATAAAAATGTTGGGGGTTTTTGGTATTGTGTTTTGCTTTTGCTTTTTAGTGGAATTTTGTTTTGTTTGGGGGGGGTGGGGGGTGGGAGGAGGAGTCATTTCATCATTACCCAGCCTGCAAGGTGAGAGTTTTCTTGGTGGAGCCCCAAGAACAGCGAGCCAACTGCTGAATAATTGACGAGTCCGGCCGTCCATGTACACCATTCACGTGACACGCACTGAACGACCACCACGCCGATATGCACATACTTAATTGATTAAGTCGCCTCATTAGTACAAGGTAGCAGGTCTATATCTGACACACACGGCCAGATGTTTAGTTCTACTAGTTTTAGTAAGAGTTTTACGGCACTTGAAATACACATTAATATACACAGGTCATATTTGTACCGAAGATTGAAGGTGTTATTATAAGAGTAGATATTTTTTTA